TCACCGATGCGTGGGAAGGCAGGACTCAAATGCAGAGTTCTTAAACAAAAGAGACTTTAATAGTCAAAGGGCCAATGGAAAAAAAACGCACACAGGAACCACGGCAAAAAGGCAGGCGGAAACTAGGGACATTCAGGACCATAGACAATGATGCGACACACTGCTTAAATACACTGGGGAGGTGCAGGTAATTGGACACCGGTGGAAACGATCAGACAATCACAGGGGATGACAGGACAAGGCAGGAAGTGAAGTTACCCAGGGAGACAAGAAGCAGAAACTACAAAATAAGACGGGAAATACACCACACCGTGACATCACAGTACAGCAAGGACTTTGGCCAAGTGTCATTGAGTGTTGGGACTGGCATCCCATCCTGGACTAACTTTATTGTCAAATATATATTTTTTCCTCAATCCTTTTTTTTTCCGACTGTGTCTGTCCGTCCGCCCGGCTGCCCCCTGACATGCAAGGGGAGGGAACCTTCCCCCAAGACTTCATACGGTCATGAAATACCTGGAAATGTCATGCAAAAAAATTGAATCCCAAAAGTTTTGGAAAAGTCATGCAAAAATGTTCAATTCATATGCTTTTAAAAAAAGACGCTCAAGATATGAGCAGGCACATGCTCTCATACTTGCAGCGCAAATAATTCCCACCGCAAGCAGAGCGTCTGTCTTTTCGGCTACCGGATGCCGACACTGACATTTTCAGTCAGTCCGCTGGTGGGAGCGGCAGTTCCGCCCCGATGGACAGGCAGACACGTGCAAGCACACATAGATGATCACGCTTCCACCACCGGACACAGAGCACGTGTCCACAATGATTGTCTCCCTCCCCCAATTTCCCAAGAATTCTAATTACAGCGACATTATAAGTATATTGTATTATAAACATATTGTTAAATGTTATACAGGTCATTTAGCCAACGCTTTTATTCAAAGCAACTTACATTGCATTTTTTTTAACCTTTTACATCTTGGCCCAGGGAGCAATTAGGGGTTAGGTGTTTTGCTGAGGGACACTTCGACATGGAACCACCAACCTTGTGGTTCCAAGCGCACCCTTTCTACCCCTGCACCATGTCACCCCAAAAGTTCATATATTGAAGTATAAAAAAAACATATCTTTAATGTTGTCAATTGTTGTTTTGTGCTTTAAAAACAAAAAAAGCATTTGTTCAGGCACATGTCATTTAGCTAACGCTTTTATCCAAAGCGACGTACAATAAGTGCATTCAACCATAGGGATACAAACTCAGAAGAGCAAGAAACAAGAAAGTGCCATTTCATCAAATAAGCCAATTTAAAATTTGTTATAGATAAGTGCCATTATAAGTACAAATTAAGTGCTACAATTTGTTAGTCTTTTCGTCAAGGTAGAGTCTGAAGAGGTGTGTCTTCAGTTTGCGGCAGAAGATGTGAAGGCTCTCTGCGGTCCTGGTGTCATCAGAAAGCTCGTTCCACCATTTTGGAGCAAGGACAGCAAAGAGTCGCGATCTAGTCGAGTGTTTTGCTCTTCAGTGAGGGAGGGACAAGCAGTTTTGCAGATGCAGAGCGAAGAGTGGGTCGAGATGTAGGGTTTGACTATGTCCTGGATGTAAGCTGGAACCAATCCATTCACAGCATGGTACATGAGCACCAATGTTTTGAACTGGATGAGCTGCAGAGGCCGAATGGCGGTGGCAGGGAGACCTGCCAGGAGAGGGTTGCAGTAGTCCAGATGGGAGATGACAAGAGCCTGAATCAGTAACTGCAGCGCCTTCTGAGTGAGAAGGGGACGTATTCTCCTGATGTTGTAGAGCGTGTATCTACAGGATCGCGTTGTTGCAGTGATGTTGGGAGTCAGGGAGAGTTGGCTGTCGAGTGTCACGCCTAGGTTCTTTGCAGTTAAAGTGGGCGTTAACACAGAGTTGCCAAAGTCCTGGGTCAGAGAATCTTTTCCCGGAAAGAGAAGTAGTTCAGTCTTGTCGAGGTTGATTTTCAGATGGGGAGCTGACATCCACTGAGAGATTTCATTTAGATGGGCAGAGATCTGTGCCGCCACCTGAGAGTCAGAGTGAGGGAAGGAGAGAATTAGTTGGGTGTCAACGGCATAGCTGTGCGATTCACAGTGCTGAGAGAGTTGGTGTAGAGCGAGAAGAGGACCCAGGACGGAACCCTGAGGAACTCCATTAGTAAGAGGACAAGGTTCCGACACAGAGCCTCGCCAGGTAACCCGGTAGGTGCGGCCGTCGAGGTAGGATGAGAGAAGGGAGTGAGCAGAGCCTGTGACACAAAGTTCCTGAAGGGAGGAAATAACTGCGTCAAATGCAGCAGAGAGGTCCAGAAGGACGACGACGGAGGAGAGAGAGGCGGCTCTAGCAGTGTGGAGTTGCTCTGACATAGCAAGGAGAGCAGTCTCTGTGGAATGGCCTGCCTTGAAGCCTGACTGGTGGGCGTCAAGGAGGTTGTTACGGTGGAGATAGGAGGAGAGTTGGTTAAATATCGCACGTTAAAGAGTTTTGGACAAAAAGGGAAGAAAAGAGACCGGTCTGTAGTTGTTTTCTTCAGAAGGGTTGAGGGTAGGTTTCTTCAGGAGTGGGTTAACTCTTGCCTCCTTCAGAGAATTGGGAAAACAGCCAGATAACAGAGCATTGAGAAAAGCTCCATTTGGTTGAAATGAGTAAACCTGTGCCACCACCCCTATCAGTGGGCCTGGGTGTGTGGCTGAAGGAGAAGGCTTTAGCCTAGTTTATGCTTCTGCGTTTTCAGAGAGACGCAAGGACACGCAGATGCAAGAGGCCCTTTGCGTGTCCCTTGCATGCTTTTTCACACCTCCTTGCGTGCCACGACCCATTTTTCTAGGCTTGCAAAAGCTACGCAAGCCTCCTGCAGCCCGCAAGGCTGTGATTGGCCTGCTAACTACATCCTTTATGGAGTCTCACATTTCCGCTTTCATAGCACAATACCAGCATTATTAAAACGAAGAATGTTTACGAGAGAATGGATCAGATTGAACAGCTTTTGTCGGAAAAAATCTGTAAATATGACCACTTCTTCAACCCCTCATTGGCGGACTATAAGGACGCACGGATGGCCTCCTATTCATGGAGGGAGATCTCCGCAAACGTCGGTTTTGAGAGGCTGGGGTGGATGTGTTCTCAGGATGTGATCCAGGTCTCGGTGAGAGCGAAGACAGCAAAGCCGGAGATGAAGTCTGCCTTACGAGTAGCTGACTGGCAGTTCCAGAGGCCTCCCGTGACGAGGTGCTTGACGTGTGTGGAGCTGGTGGGATAGGTGAGAGAGGAGAGGTTACGATAGAGAGCAGATCTAGCCCGAGGCCTGTAGTTTCTGCGGGAAGAGTTCTTTGTTCTGCTCGTCTTGACTCCCACAAAAGACTCTAACCCCCGATTTCCACCAAATGCGGAACGGCTCAGCTGCGTGAGAGCTCCGTGTTCCATAGTCCGTCAATACCCACCAGGTCCGGATTTGTTGCGGAACGGCTGCGGCCATGATTGACAGCTGACGTCACGATGCCCCATGTAATCTCGCGAATTCTGGTGTGATCGTGCGATATGTAGTTTCTATAAACTTAAAAAAACCAACAGGCCTGTTTCCGCCCATTATGACATTTTCAAGGTGTAGTGTAGGGAAATATGATCCGCCATGAGCACAGTGTATTTCATTTTGAAAATTAAACGGATCTTTTATTTTGTTTCTGGCTGTTCTGTTTTTTGCTTGACTTCCTGTCCTGCGTACTCTGCCCTGTAGTGCTGCGCAGCGCTCCGGCATCCGGCAAAAATAGAAGCTCTGCGTATTTTTTCCGGAGGGCTGCGGATCGCCGGAGTCGGAACACAGCCGTCCCGCAGTCAGTGGAAATACACACATTGACTTTAATGGAAACTTTTGAATCCGACGCCGTGCTATAGCCGTTACGCAGCCGTTACGCAGCCGTTCCGGAGTTGGTGGAAATTGAGGGTAACGCTTCACACAACCTTTCGTTAAATACTCCCTCGTTAGTGGAAGTCGGCTACGGCTGCGCTGACCACTCCCCCGTCATTTAGCAGACAAAAGATAAATTGGCCTCGGCAGAAACTCCTCAAAATGCAAAACAACAATTGCCTGACACATTAATCAGTGAACAATCGCCATGTGGTGTTCTGACAAACTGAGAGTTTAAGGATTCAAGTCTCTTCTGCTTCAGAAGAGAAGGCAAAACAGACTTAGATCGGGTCAAACCTAGCAAAGTTAGGAGGCCATGCTAGAGCTTAAGCAAACTAGCAATCAAATTAACTTAAAACACTCAAATCAACAACAGATTTAGCAGACTAGCTTGGTTTAAAGATAAGATACATAGTCTGATATTACTCCATCTGATGGCCTTGTAGTCGAGATGCACACTTTCCTTCTTTTACTTCACCGGTGATCAAAGTTTCCCATCCCCACCATTTTTCCATTACCCCCACCTCCTCCCATCTCTGAATCCCCCACTCAACTTATTGTCCTACACACTCAGCAGGGAGGCCTTAGCAAAACCCAGCTGCACACACACACACATTTAGTCAGAGACACATCTCGCCTCCCTTTCTCCATGATGGACTGGGATTGGCTCACACTGTCAAAGTGTGTGATTGCAACCTCGGTTTGACCTGCTGGGGATATATGGTGTTCTCGGGTTATCTACATAATGCACATGGAGAGATGTGGAGGAAGGTATCGGAGAACAAGTGAGGAGGGGTCAAAGAGGGAGAGAAGGCTGGATGAAAAGATATTGCAGAGAACAGAGTTGGATTTTATAGACAATAGCGTGCTAAATTAAAAAGTGTCGCGTGTGTGTGTGTGTGTGTGTGTGTGTTTGTGATTGAGTTTCAAATACAGAAATAGTTCCTTACGGCTAGGCTATATTGGCAATTTCATGAAAATATCTCTTTAAAGTGTGCATGCATGAGTGAGTAACTACACACTCACTGAGAACGAAGTAATATGCAAAATCTTAAAATGATACTGTGACACTAATGATACTGTGACACTAATATTTTATTTTAAATATGCATACTGTTTAATATTATGCAGCGTTTATTTATAAAATGTGATGAATGTAGTCATGTAGCAGCACAATCATGATATCATATGATTCGTGTCTTACTGGAGCTTGTAAACATGCAGGCCTATCGTGCCTTAGTCTACTGTACGTCACAAAAATAAACACACATACACCCTGTGAGGGGAATTTTCCTAGAAGTCTGTGCTTAGCCAGTTATACCAGGCTATTTGAATGAGGACGTCTGCCAGTGACAGCCTGCACACTCACAATAAATGCTCCCCATGGGGAAGCACATGCAGTCCCGCCTGAGTAATGAGTTAGAATGAGTTTATTTCAGTCCAAATGTTGAGGCAGACAGAGTGTCTTTTTGCAGCTCGTGTGGGAATGAATTTGCTCCACTCAGGTTACATACCTTGTGTTTGGCTGAAAAGAGAGCCCGTTTGAGTCCTACTTTCGCCAACCCGTAGTGATAGAATGGACTGACCCGGAATGGACTCTGGTCCACCCCCCACACCTCCGCAAACTGAGAAAGCCAGCTTAGAGCTATTGTGACTAACTAGCTCCAGAGTGAATTTGTCCGCTAATATGCACTGTAGATTTTGTGTTTCATTGATAAGCGTGTTCTTTCAGCCAGGACACAAAATGACGGTGCAACCAATAATTCTTTAATGACCCATCTTATTGTAGCCGGGTGAAGTGGGGCCAGGGAGGTTTTCGTACTGCTAGATGGTCTGCATACAGGGTGAGGGCGTACTGTCACTTTAAGTACATGGCAATGAGTTCATGTGGGATTTGGAGCTGCAGAACGGGCTACTGACGACAACCCAGTATTCGCGTTTAGCATCAAGACAGCGCTAGGGAAGTACTTGTTCAGCGGGTCAGCGTAAGTGTGCATTAATAAACTCACTATGTAAATTGTGCTTGATTGTTAACTAAGTGTATGTTCTTGGGTTATGCGCGTCTGCTTCGTAACAAGCTGCCGTGGGTGGAGGGCGCACGTGTATGGAGCCGTGCACACAGGCACTCGAGTGAGTTAATTGTTTTCTTGCCTTTTGGACAAACGACACTGGTGTGAGTGTTGAGCAGACCGATGTGTATGTTCTTTGTCGCTGTTTAACAGGAGGGGGTTACTACGGTTGTTTTTTTATGTGACTGTCAGCTCTATTCTATGTCATACTGTTCTAGTTTAGTAAAGAAAAGCAATTGGTTATTTGTTGTACACTGTCCTAAGTGTCTCCTTCATTTGACACATTAAGGCTGTGCTCCAGGAGTGCAGTCGGGGGAAATAAAGAACCCACGTTAAAGAAAATTAAATTTATCTTAGTGTCCCGTCTCATCATTTTAATCAGGCTAGTGCTGGAGTAAGACTGTTCATATATTGTTGATAGTATACTACTTTAGGGAAATAGTAATAATTGTGTATATGAGTTTGGTTTATATCTATACAATTATGCCACTATTTTGGTGAAACTGTATTCTCATTAGCATAGCTATAGGCTTATCTTTGTGTTCCTGTTATATTGTGCCTTGCTGCATGACTCATTATCATGATCAGTGCTTCAGCTTTTATTGTTGTAGCTGCTGACATTAGCTGACATGAGTCCATATTTTCGTTAAAACCTGTCATCTCTCCAAGATCTTCCAGATTTGAACAGCATCCATAAACACTCTTTTCAGGTGAGGACTCCACGTCTCTTGGTTGCAGCTCAGAATTTGGGAGAAAGTCACCCGATGGAGATGTTAGCTACAAAACAAAAACAACACACATTCATAAGTGCATTTGAAGAATTTGGAGGAATCTAGGTGAGGTTGCACACCACAACAAACCGAATCCTTCTCTGAATCCCTTACTGTCCCCTTTCAAACATAAGAGAATTCATCAGGGCTGAACACTGGTAGTGCTATGTTAAAACATTCAGATATGTGACTCCATTTTTCTATTCCATTCATGTGTACACGGACGTAAATGCACAATTTGTAACCAGACTGTTAGCATGGAGGTTCTTTCTACAATTATGATATTAATCCAATTACATATAAAACAGCACCGCTTTAAAGTCCATAAGGAAACAATACATTGCCTACCAAGAAATCTGATTTCTTTGTGGTTATTTCCACAGAATAAGCAATATGTTGGCTCACCTCTAATATCCATTTGACAGGCTGTTTTCCTGAACATATGATGAATTTAAGAAGTTTGTATTGTGGAATAAACATACCCTTGTGTAGCTGAGAAAGTTTCATGCATTGGTTATTTTACTTGAAAACATTATTGTACAATTTAAGGTAAGCCCCGCCTAGAAAGTCAAATGGGATAGCTTAACCTAACCAGCTCACATGATGAACTATAGTCACTCATTGTAGTGACTATCTCAGTTGCTCTTAAAGATTGATGTATATCTGGCTTAGACAGTAGACACAATCTCCCTCTCCCTGCAGCAGAGCCTGTATCATGCCATGTACATCCATCAATACAAATCCATAGCGTGTTACTGTGATTTCCTTTTTCATTGGATATATTACAAAATCAAGACGTTTTGTTTATTTACGATGCTATTCCACAACTTTTTAGTATAAAATTAGACCATGGCTAAAGACCATTTAATATCAGTTTTCAGTATTCTTGGGAGAGTTTCCTTTAATTATGAAAAAAGGAGGAAATTGTGAAAATACTTATTGTCCTACTGCATGAATACGATTATTTATATTATATTTATTTACCTTTTTGATCATCTTGACTGGAATACTTTAAAATATTCATGATTAAACTAGGTCTTTAACATATGAAACTTTTTTTTTTAAATGAGACTTGCTTCATTGGAAATCTTGAAATGCCCCTCTAGTATGGCTGTTAGAAAAGCTAACCTGGTCCACTGTGTCAATTTAATCATCTTAGGATCAAGAAGCGGAGATAGGACCTGTATAGGATGCTAAATATATTTTCAAAGCACATTGAAAAAATTAGCTTTTCATTTTGGATTAAGAAAAGGAGCACGTAGATTCCCAACCTCAACATCCGCAGCGCTCAGGAGAGGACAGTTTCTGTTCTCTAATTCATTGTGGTCACTGGTGAGTTCCAAAGCCTGAGGTAGATGGTGCGGAGAAGGCTCAGAGTGGCCAGATGGAGATGTGGTCTGCATAGGATGAAGAAGAGATTGCACAACCAGAAAGTTAACAGAAACAAGAACCATGTAGTAAGGAGCAGTGTCAAATAACATGTCACCACATATTTGAAGAGCATATAACCGTCTTACCTCCACATCTGTAGTGCTCAGGTGAGGACTGATTCTGTCCACTTCTATGGGGGCGTCAGTGAAATCCAAAGCCTGAGGTAGATTTTAAAATTTACAAAGCAGTTTCAACTATTTGCCATCTTAAAAGAACCTGATAAGGTAAGACATATACAAACTGAACAAGGGGGTAGCACATATGTGTCTTAGTAGACTTACATTCAAATGACTTATTTTCGGTCTTGAACGCGGTATTTTGGTGACGTTGTTTGGCTCCAAGTGCAATTTGTACCTGCATTTGGACATTCTGATATTAAAAATGTGTACATGATTAAAACAGACAAATAACAAAATAATCTATTTAAATTATAATTAATGTATTATCTAAGCCCTTTTGAGTATAATAACCTCATGGATATTTTGATTTGATGAAAAAATGACAACTGCAACTTCATTCCTTTTCTCCTATCCGTGTCTATGTGATGTAAAACAGCACCTGTAAGGCAGTACTGTCTTTGACTGTATCCATGGCAACAGAAGGTCTCAAACCGCTCGCGCTTCCTGCTGTTCGCTTTAAATCCCCTCGCGCATAGTTTGATACTTGGATATCGTTTAACGGACTAAACAACACAAATTAAACAGTATTAAAGATGTTTGCCTATGTGAAGTATATTGACGACGGGTGCAAGGAAATCGTTCCCTCGTCAGACATCAAAAATTTTGACAGCTGCAATGTCAAAAAGGTTTACTGGGTGCGCTGGCAGGGTAGTTTTTTCAAGGCCCAAATACTGATCCTGAGGGTTCAGGGTCAGGTTCAGGTTCAAGGGTAAGTTATACAGCTTATTTACGTTAGTTTGTTCATCAAATAAACAAAATAGTACTCCTTTATTCCAGAGTCCAGACAGGAAATCGAGGAGGAGCTGTCCAAGGGCAAGCGGGTCCGCGTGAGTCTGCTGAAGGAGACTTCGCCAGCCGCGCCTCCGTCGGAAAGCGAGGAAGTCAAAGCAATGCATGTCGGTTAGCTTTCCAACACCAAGTAATATATTGTATTAGGGATGCACCGATCCACATTTTTTCACTTCCGATCCGATCCCGATACCTAAATTTGGATATCGGCCGATACAGATAATATTCCGATACCAGAGCTGTGTTTGAAAAACAGGAAATCCTGTTAAAAGAAAAAATTCTGAAAACAAATTTGAAACTAAGGGTTTCAGACTGATTGTCATGTCAATATTTATTTAAGTTCATAAATGTCAAATACTTGAGTCTTAAAAATTTAGAAATATGAAAAGTGCAAGTGTGAACATCAAGTAAACTGACTCCTGTATCATGAACAACATGTCAAATATCTGAAGAAAAGTGCAATAAAATAACTGTAAACATCTTACACACATACACACTTGACACACAGTCTCACTCATTCACACACGCAATCACACTTACACTCTCTCTCACACACACACACACACACACACACACACACACACAATAAGTTTTAAAACAGTGTGCATCAGAACAGCACTTAAGATGACCTGGAATAAACTAAACACCAGAGTCTAACTATTCTTTAAAAGAAAACAAAAATTTAATGTCTCCAAGTTTACTCTGAGGAAGTGATGTAGTGTTCAACAAAACTTACATCGGCAGGTTCTTCTTGAGGAATATGAGCATTTCTGCTCTCTGCAGTTAGACGATTCCTTTTTTCATCCATGATATTGGATGCCGTGCTAAACAGTCTAGCCTCAGCGCTATCCTGCTAGCCTGCTAGCTGGCTGCAAACTGTGGAATGGGTTCCTGAACGGAGGCGCGGCTCAATGAGAGACAGTTATGAGACACGCTCAGGAAATCCATTCCACAGTTTGCAGCCAGCTAGCAGACTAGCACGCGGGGATCACTTTTAGAGTCATTTCTGCTGACGACGTTAAAGAGCAGACATAGCTCATTGATATCGGAAATCTCCAAAGGTTGTATCGGAAAATCCGATACCCGAATTTCTCTGGTATCGAGTCCCGATACCGATACTGGATCGGATCGGCCCCATCCCTATATTGTATACATTGTTGCGTAGGAAAGTGTCGTCTTCAACATACAAGTACAGTTTATGTGTAGAAATGATTGGCCTGTTTGTGTGTGTGTGTGTGTGTGTGTGTGTGTGTGTGTGTGTGTGTGTGTGTAATATATATATAAATCACTATCTTTGTTTGTTGGTTTCTGTGACTACGTTTTGTATTACACAGTGTCTGTATTACATTACGTGTCTGTCCCATTCAGTAAATGAAAATATTGTTATAAAAAAACTGATGGTAGATGCTAGCATACAAAAGACAAGACAAGGGAGTAATGCAATGATCTAATATGCCCTGTTTTTATAATATCAACATTGAACTTGTCCGCATACAAACCTGATGAGAAAATGCAATCCTCAGCATTTAGTCGTATTAAACAGCATAACAGCATGCATGCTGGTCACCAGCATACCAGCACCAGCATCATCCATGCTGGTGACCAGCATACCTGCACCAGCATCATCCATGCTAGTGACCAGCATACCAGCACCAGCATCATCCATGCTGGTGACCAGCATACCTGCACCAGCATCATCCATGCTAGTGACCAGCATACCAGCACCAGCATCATCCATGCTGGTGACCAGCATACCTGCACCAGCATCATCCATGCTGGTCACCAGCATACCTGCACCAGCAGCATTATGCTGGCATATGCTGTTTTTGCTGGTCACTAGTCTTGCTGGTCATTAAGACATGGAGCAGCCAGGATTTGAACCAACAACACTGAGGTTCATGGCGCACCCTCTCTAATGCGCCACAGACACCCCTAACCGCTATTCAATTGAGCTATGGGATGTTGTAGAAAAGGCACGTATGCTGGGTACCGCTGTCTGCAGGACGTCAGTGATGATGGGCTAACGTTGATAGGCTCTTGCGCCGCAGTGTAAATGAAGTTGAAATATTTAAACTTTCGCGTTTACTGTATTTGACTGACATTGCGTGGGAGACGCGCTGGTCAATCGCAGATTTGCGTCGCTCGAGTCTCATTGCATCTGTGCATAGACTTGTATGTAATCCTGTGCCGTCAAACGCTGGGGTTGTGTTTGGTTGTGAATGCACTATAAGAGATCATTTAAGACACATGTCTATCTTTGGAAAGGTGTTTTGCTTTGTAGTACATGAGGTGTGACACTGTGACATTTCTCTGAGCCCTTAAGTACCAACTAAAAGCCCCAGGTCATTGATCATCTTCAAACATTGCACGCGGATGAATAATCCTACCCCATAAAACCATCTTTATAATCATCATGACAACTGGCAGCTCCCTCGCAAATAAAACAGATGCGGAAAACAGATAACAGGGGCGTTTAAGAAGTGGCCCATTATGACACATTCCCTCTCCTTTTATTTTTTTATGATAGCAAACAATCAGTTATCCAGATGGCAAGAGATGTGGAGGCCGGCTGGCATTTGGCACACAAACACACTCTCTGACGTTCATATACATATCTACACATTTGGAGAAACACACAGATATAAAAGCAGAAATCACACCCTCTGACACACGCACACAAGCTCAGACACACACAGCCATCAACATCTGTTGTGTACGCAAAGGTATTCTGCCATGCTGCCCATAGCAGCAGCAAGTGTACAGATGAGCCCCACAGCTGCTTGATCGTTCCCAGTGAGGGAATCGTACTGCTGTGATGGATAAGGTGGGATTCTTCTAATTGACAGTTTGTGGGAAAACAGATGGTTTATTTGTTGGTATTCATCACATCTTTATGAACAACAGAAGATAGCGTCAAAGAGAAAGGAGAGACAAGTATACACTGTAGAACATCGTTTAAATGCTTTGGAATAATTTTTCACATATTGGCTGTTTGAATATTCCTCTGTTCATCTTCTAAAACGGTATATTGTACTAAGCCGGCATGGAATGTAGGAAGATGAGCCAAATCTGACAGGCTTGTTGAATGTTTTCCGATCAAGGCAGCCCAAAAGTAACTGAGTTGTCTCATTTTGTGGATTGGTTGAGACTACAAATAACCAAATTTGAGGTAATTTGAAACGGGAAGTGTGGTGGCGGGCGTGGTTTGGCGCGGCTGCAGAGGGGACGGAGAAGGGAGTGGTTCGGGGAACGGTGCCGGGGGAGGGATAATCAGCCTCAGCTGAGATTAATCATTGTTTGTGTTCCTCCTTTAAGTAGGAGAGATCCGGCAACAGCGAGTGAGCTGAGCGAGGCGAGGAGGCTGGAGCCGGTCGCTTGTAAAAAAACGATAAAATAAAGACTGTTCACTAAAACCCTCAGCCGCATCCTCATTATTCCGGGACCCCCACACACCCACCCGTTACAGGGAGTTTTTTCATGTCTAACCGTTAAGGACACTCAAGAACACTTATTTGTAAAGGTTGTATGGGTCATTCATTTCAAGCTTAAAGACTTGAAGCATCTTATCTCAGTGTTTGTGTTGCCTTTTCCTCCATACTCTGGGATACAGCTTCTAAACATCTGCCTCAGACAATGTGTGCATCTCCAAGCACCTGTGTGTCAAGTTTATGTGGGAATGTTCATGTTTGACATGGTTATATCCATCAATCTACAAACCTGGAGTTTCCATTTTGCCGGTGACCAGTCTTTAAAATGAAAGTCATATTGGCTGCCATTTCCTCCAACCTGCCTCATCCTAAATCACCATTTTCTGTCAAATGACAAATATGTGATGTTTCAGTGGAAGAAGCCCTTCTGATCCACAGCGTTACTGCTTTCGCGTAGAACAATGAGTAGACAAACCATTCTGTATAATATAATGAATATGTATTGAAACTGCATACATCCTCACATGCAGCAGCAAATATTAATCTTTCTGCAGTTCACTGACATATGTATGAGTATAATTCAGATTCACTGAAGCCACTGGTAATAAACAAACTGTTTAACTTTACCTGGATGACTTTGCTGGTTTGTAAAAAAAAATCAATTTCAGAAACCCTTGTTGTCGAAATCACCATACATTTAATGTAATGTAACCACATGACCAATTTATGGAAGCATGTTCTAAACATATGGTGCTAGGAAGTATTTGGTGTCTCTTGCGTTCTAGTGTAAGGAGCTGCGGGGCAGGTTTGTGGAAGGCATCCTTTCCAGAGGTCTCCACGCACTCCTATAAAAAAGCTTTGGGCTTGATTCAAATTTTCAAAAAAATTAACCTCCCAACGTCTATTTGTAAGCACTATTGCTTGACCTCTGTTGAAAACGTCATGGGGTCAAGATTGGTTTGTTCTTTACCCCTTGTTAATTTAGCAAAAAGATTTTTTTACTCAGTCCAATGAGAAGTGGGGTTTGGAATTGCCAGCAGCAGACATGTTCCAATGAGACAATTAGACTTAAAGAATGTAGTAGATGGGATTCAAACTGCAAACTTTAGTGTTGACATCAGACACTAAATTGGACACTGTCACCTGTGACAACTTTCTGGAATTGTGATGGACCTGTTGGAATATGTAAGCAATAACCCTAATTCAAATGTCCCAATATAATCAGATTACTTTTGTGTTACTATAATACCAGGAATGCTATTAAAGATAAAAGTTAAACATGCTGTCTTTGGATAATTAATGTCCTTGTTGATTTAGTAGGAATGAAAACATTGCATCAGTACAGTGCCATTTAAACTGTTAAAATTCTGCCATCACCCAAGGACTTCAATATATTTGGATCAATATTTTTGCCAGATTCAAACTTTGGGAAACTGCATATAAATGTACGTTTTTTAATGTATATACATCAATGTGTGATTTTTGGGAAGGGTCACATCTGCAAATCTTCATTGTAGGCAATATATTTTACCCTAAAAATACAAAAAATATATATTTATGAAAAACCAAAACAGATTATTCTAATCCCATTCTCATAAAATATGTTTGCAACCTGATTACGGCACTTTTTTCCAAACTCTAACGTATTCCGGTTACCCTATTTCCTATCTAATTATGCAACACGGTTTTCATGTAATCTGTTACCCCTCTGTTAAGCCTGTCCAAGTGTTCAAACACACAACCAATGTTCTTCTGTTAAGGACTGTCTTGAATATTTAGAGGCGTCTTGGTCATTCAACTGTTGTATTTCTGTGGGAACTGGAACACATGCAGTGAAGCTCTGCCCGCAAGCCCCCCAAAGTATTACTGCCCCAACATCATGAGGACCACTTTTGGCCCCTTACTGCCCTAACTGCCCCTCAAGCACCGCCACCACATCACCCCAGCCGCCCACATTAGGGCTCCAGACACGAGGCTTTATTGACTGGTTTTGGATCATCCTCTACAGGATAGCCTACTTATCCTTGAGGCTCTGCCTCCATCACAAGAAGATAATCTCTTGTGATTACCTTCTATTTCTCATCGGCTCTCTCGCTCACTCTCTGATTTCTACTCTGCTTTGTTGTTTCATGACCAAGGCCCCAGCACACCTCAACTCCATCCCCCCTCCATCCCATTCTCTCTTCAGCTCCTTTTTTTCATTGGGGGGATGAATACAGAAGGCCTCATCTCCAGTGTCGTCTTACTGTGTTCTTTTGTACAGGCACTCCTCGGCCAGCTGCCTATTCACACAGTATCGCCAATTAGGACCCCATTTAGAAAGCAAGAGAGAGGACATGAGATGAGCTTAGTTACCCCAGTCATCACCCCCACCCTTACTGTAGATATGGTCTGATACTGAAGCGTCTTTATTCTCCACTTACAGTACCTCCTTTATCAGAATTGTATCTCTTGCGGTCTTAATTTCT